CTTTGCTGCTTTTGCTCACTTAATGTGCGCCTGCGCAGCAAGTCAAGTGCGAATCATGTCAATCAGGACGAGTTCCCAGTTCGGGATCGGCAACCAGGACGAATTACGAAGGACGATGAACGACGGACCGTTAAAAAATGTGTCGCCCGGCCACGCCCCCTCCCCTTTATCCTTGATGTACATTTTGTACATATTTTTTTTTTTTTTGACAAACTGACAGGCAAATGTCAGCGATTTACAAAACGTTTAAGCTTCCCGCTTTTTGTCCACTTCACTGCTCATGAAACAACAAACACACGGGCCACGGCTTTCCCGAATTTCCCTCCACTCGACTCGACTTGAAAACTCGCTCATATTTGTTTTTCATAAGCCGAGCAGAGCAACAGCCACTGGAAAAAATGTAAATTTTCACCCAAATAGAAGAGGGACGACGGCACGCGTGTAATCGCCCGGAAGCGTTTCATTCGCATTCGCATTTCCATTCCCATTTTTTACTTTTATTGTTTTGTCGCCCGTACAAGTCACCCCCTTTTTGTGGAGCGTGCAACGTTCCACGAGCAACTTGCAATGTGCCACCAGCAACATGGCAACATTGCAACATCGCAGATGCATTGTAATCATTTTCATTTTTCGTTTTCGTTTTTTTTTTTTATTTTTGTACTATACTTTACATGGGGTGGCTTACTCCAGCCCAAAAAAAGCTTGCAGTTGCATCATTAGTTGCCTGCTAAATTTGCATGACTTGTGTTGCCTTTTGACCTGCGGCAACAGACGGGGCACGTGGCACACAAAAGTATAGTATGTGGCATATGGCACTGTATACTGTATACGGCATACGGCCAACTGTCACTCCGATCCGCCGGAACTGCGCCGTCATCCGCCGATCGCTCATTCTGCATTCTGCATTCTGCCCACTCATCATTACACGTCCAAAAAACATTCGAAAGTTGTAAGCCTGATATAGGGATATACATCGTGTTGAAAATGGCATATCTTCGTTCTGAAACCGATTTTTTAGCGCCTATCTTACGCCTTTAAAAAGTTTTGATTACATTTTCTGCTTAGATACATTATAATTTTATGATGGATACAAAAAAAAATTAATATACATTTTTAGGGCGCATGAGATACATATGGATGGTGTTATATTCCAAGACCTAAATGTAATTAGCTAGTGTGTTTTAGAAGGACCTGATCTTCATCGAAATGCCCCCTTTTTAAAATTACCCAAGCCTTATTAAACTTCGATTTCAAAGTGTATGCTGTACTTTTCCTACAATTCAATTTAAAATTGTAATTTTATACCCTTTCTGAGGGTTTTATAAAGCTGGAATAGAAAAAATCGACATAGCTCCATTGTTTTTATAAATATACGCTTAAATATCGATTTTGTCGTTCTATAGAATATATTATTTAATTTTTATAATTAAAGTTTTCTTCCCTTCTGGTTTCTATTTATTTGCTGTCCGAAAATTTGAATTTCTCTCCGTGCAGCGCATTTTGACTTTCACACTTTGCGAATTGCCCACTTCACCCGATCCGATGCGATTCCGATCGCTAAGCTAATTAACAGACTTGCAAAAATTCATTTCACTGCCGTTGCGATCGGTTTTTTTTTTTTTTTGTTTCCATTTTATTTGCCAGCGGCAACAAAATGTTGCAAGTTGCAACCCTTTCGCTTCAGTTTCTATTTGGCTGTTGTTGTGCTTCACTTTTTTCATTTTCGTCGCCGCTGTACGGGGATTGCAGTGGAAAATTTGTTTATCATTAACAGATTGCAGCAGCTCGCGTTGGAAAATGAATTATAATTATGCGGCAACCACCCTTGCCGGGATTTAAATATTAAATATATGCCACACGCGGCGAGCGGGGATTTCAATTTGGATGCCCATTGTTTGCATAATATTTGGCAATTATTGGAACACACTCACTGACAGTTCGGGGATCGTGGCCCGGTAGTGGAGTATCCTGCCAGGATATGGATGGCACCGTGGTACAGGGGACTTCTAAGCCGGCTTACCAGCTTTTTAGCGGGGGTTCTGGGTTCTGGAAAACCTTCAGTGTGGTTTTGATTTTTTTTTTGTTGTTTGTTTTTGGGGAGAGTCCTTGCAGCTTGCCATCGCAAAAGAAAGTTTCTTGCCCCGGGGGCAGTGCGAAAATTCGGTGGCATAGTGACTTCGAGCCGAGGCAGGGGCGTTAGGGGTTTAAGGGTTCCCTTAAAAATCCTTAAATTTCGCCCGCGGCGCTGGCAGCGTCTTGTTTGTCAATCAACAACAAAACGAGTACGAAAATCCGCGAATGCATTGGCATCTGGCGAAATCGGTTCCTGCCCCCGAGAGCCGAGGTCCCTGAATCCTCAATTTTGAATTCAGAATTCGGAATTCTTAATTCACAACTCTGAATCCTTTTCAGTCAGCCGCAGCACTTCCTTTTTTCTGCGGCCAGCTGTTGATTAACTAACTGCATAATGAAGGAGTGCAAACAAAAAATAAAAAAGGAGCAGAGGCTGGAACCGTCAGAAACCTGGTTTTATTATTGTACTTATATTTACTAAAGTGGGCAGGAGTAGGATGTTGTGAGCGGTACCATCATACCTCAATATTTAACTAATCAAACTATGTTAATAGTCATAATGGATCAAGATGCTATAAGTATTTATCAAATAAGTCAATTGAATACTATTTACTTCTATGGAATGTAATGTCTTGGGCTGACTACTTGTGGACTACTGTGGTAATTTCTTTGACAACTTAGCTGAAGATCTTCCCCGGATATTAACCCTTTTCCTCGGTGTGCCATGTCAGCTGTGACCAGTGTTTCCACGCCCCCATAACTGGTGCCCATTTGATATTCGGTGAGCATTTGTTTTTTATCACTTTTACAAGCAATTAATTAAATTTTTATCGATTAACCAAGTGACACGCAACTGGAAGGAAGTTCAAAACGGAGGCCAAGACGGAAACGGGCCAAGAAATGTAAATTCTTTGGGCCCATAAGCCAAGTTCGGGAATAAGAAAAGGGTTTGCATGGGGCACAAAGGGGTGTGACCGATGTCGACGACATTAGGAAATTGGTCTAACGATGCGGGTGAGCACAGCTGGCCAAGTCGAGCTGAGCAAGTGCACCCAGCAGGGTACCCAGAAACCCAGAAACACAGAAACCCAGCAACAGCCAGCCCCATGTGAACAATAAAAATAATTCAATTATCTATCGCATCGCAGGCTAAATGGTCTACAAATTAGGGACAAGCCCACAGAAATGTGCGATGCGATGACAGGTTGCACAGGATCGGAGGATTAAGCGGGTTCCTTCCGCAACAGTCGGGATCCGAAGGAAAAGGTTTAGGGATAGGTATATAGTCATACCTACAGAACACCGCACTCAAATCGAATTACAGTGCCAAAAGAGTGTGCGAGGGCGTCAAATTGTTAACAAGTGTCATGTGCCAAAGGATCAGAGATGGTCAAATCTGGAACCGGAAAAATAGCTAGATTTTATTTTTTCAAAACTACTACTACAAACTTCATTACCACAAATGAAATAAAATAATAATAATAAAAATACAACTCTATGCTTTTCAACTATCTAGTATCTACTAGCTATTATCTTAAAATTTTATTTGTTTTTTTGGCTTTCACTCAGATGTTTCGTGCTTTAACTTTAAATAGTATATTACACCCATCCACCCTTATGAAAATAAGCTTATTTTAAGCTCATATTTTTTTCCTTGCTAATATCATTTTAATATGTGCAAAATGATTTTTGGTTGGATTACTTTAAGCTTTAAAGTTGACAGACAATGGGCAGCAAACGGGGGATGATTTGGTTGCAGCGACTTTAAAGGAGTTTCTTTGCTTAAAAATATATTTTTCAAATGTGTTTCGATTATGATACTTTTATGAATAAAATAGCCACTTGAGCAGCACAGATGAGGATGTGGATAGGAAACAGGTCCTGGCTCTAGCCCGTCCTCTCTTTTTCCGCCCATATCCAAGGAAACAAGAGAGTTGGCCAGCTGTTGTCTGTATTTGTATCTGTATCCTGACTCCGACTCCTCCTTTTTCTCCTGATCCTGGATCCTGGGGCGTGCCATTGTACCTGTCAGGTATTCAAGCAACCTGTATCGCCGTTGTTTGTTTTGGTCGCCTGAAAAAGCAAAGCAAATCGCTTGGTCAAGCAACTGTGTAAATACATTTATGCGCAGGTCAAAATGCAACCGGCACGAGCTTGGATATTGCGTACTATAGATGACGAAGGTGACCGCAGATGTTTCATATTCATGTCGTTGATCCTAATGAAAACAACAATATCTGGCAGTCTTACGAATAGTGCGGGAATATTTTACTTTTAAAAGTAAATTATTGGCAACAAGATTAGTCTTAAGTTGAGCTTAGCTTTTTTAAAAGATATTCGTAAGTTTCTTCAAATAATAATTTAAGCTACACAATTAAAAATAAATTACTGCATTTACTCGTATTTCTTTGGCATTAAAATAAAAAAGATAATTTAAATATCTAAATTGCATAGATTGAATCAATAAAATAATATAATGTTTTCATACAATGGCAAAAGTTTTTATCTTTCTAATACGAAAGCTGAAATATAAAGCACCACACCCCAATTCCTCCAGTTCGACAAAAATAATAACTTCTCATAATAGCTTTTGATTTTACTGCATTTATTTTGAAAAAAATATTAATATAGTTAACTTAAAATAGTAATAAATATTTGTTTTAAAATTAAATAATGGAAAAAAAAGATGTGTATACAAAAACTACATAACAGCAGTGGCTAAAAAAAAGGTTGATATAAATAATTGGTTTAGTTAGTGATGAACTTAGGCTAGAAATTATGTACAGTTGTTGTTTATGGTTTAGTTTTTGACTTAGGAACTAATTAAGCGTCATAGTTAAGCGTTTTTCCCCCGTTTGTCAGCGTTGCTCGCTCTCTCTCTCTCTCTCCTTCTGTCTCACTTCTTCTTTTTTTTTTGTGGCTTTCTTAGGGATTTCTTATTTTTTTCAGACATATATAGATGAGGGCAGGGCCAATCCCACCTCGAAGTAGTTGCGCTCGTCGACCTTGTAGCGCTTTATGGGCGACTCCTTGGCGATGACCTCCTTGCGGCCCCGCTTCAAAGCCTTCACCGGCGTCTCCAGGCAGAAGGTGTTGTCGCCGATGGCTGCTCCACCAGATGATGCTGGGTGGGTGCCATGGGTCACCATCGGCGTGGCCAGTTGGATGAGCAAGTTGTGTGGTAGTTTGCTCATTGGAGAGGCCGGCTCGGGCGTGGCCATCATGGGCTGCAGTGGGACCAGACCGAAGCTCAGGTCCGAGGCTGGATCGTCTCCTGCTGCGTAGGATGGCGAGAGGACCTCCTGCGGGCAGTTCGACTCCATTTGCTGCTTCACCAGGGTGCGCCTGCGCAGATTGAAGGTGGATTTTCTGGCCTTCTTCTTGCTGCTCGCATCCGCCTTGCAGGCCGAGTCCAGAATGGCATCGATGAGGCGATCCAAAGTCTGATCGCCCATCTGCGTGGAGGCGGGCTGCGGAGTGCTGGGCCGTGCTCCCATTTTGGTGGCTGTCTCCACTTCCATTTCCGGCTCTGGTTCCTCCTCCACTTCCGGTTCCAGGGTGGCCACGAAATCGTCGTCCAACCGTCGCTGCTTCAGCTGGGTGACCCCGTTAATGTAGCGTGGCTGACCCAGGAAGGGATCCAGCGGGGCCAGACCGCGCAGCGCCAAGTGCTGACCACTGGGCAGGGCCAACCCATTGGGGGAGTAGTCCTCGGCGAAGCGTGGCAGGGTGGTGGCATACCGCACACTCTGCACCCGCTGGGGCGCCTGGCTCCGGCTGGCCACCGCCTCCGGGGTGACATTGCGGATGTCGCTGAGCGGCGCCAGGACCAGCGGACTGTTGCGCAGCCGCGACACCATGGGCACTGGCGTGGATGTGTAGTCGGGCACATTCTCCTTGTTGGCAATGGTGGCCCTCCGCTGGCGACGCTGCCGCCGCTGGAGTCGCCTCTGATTCGGATCCTGTTGATCCTGCACCGGAATCTCGTTCAGCCGCTGCGCCGATGCCGTCCACTTGAGCATGTTGCGTAGTCGTTCGTTCGTCGATGGTGGGCACAAAAAAAAAGTGTAGATCTAGATCTCTAGATAGACTCTGCTAGTCCTCTGCTCTCGACCGCTCTCGCTGACAAACTGAAGCGGTACGGGGAGCGGGCTGCGTTTTATACCCGCTCGCCGCCCAGGGGTTAATGGCTAGGGGTTGCGCAAGAGGCACCCCGACGGGCAGAAGGACACTCGCTCTCTCCCAAGCACTCTCTGTATCTCTCTCTCTCTCTCTCACTGGGTTTCTTTCTCTCGGCCAGGAGTTTGCTCTCTTCATCCTCGAGATATCTGTGGCCTCTCAAAGTATCTTGAGATCGCAAGGAATCCCAAGCAACAAGCTATGGAATAGCATAGACTTTACTTTGGCTTAGAACTATTATCAAATTGGCATACTAACTTGGGAGCATATTAATATAAAATTTACAAAATATGCTTACCACATTTTAGATCCTTTCAACTACTTACCATATCTTTAAAAAAATATTTACTTATTTCTTAAGATTTTAAATCAAAATGTAACCTTTTTAAGTATCTTAAACTTATAAAAATTAATACTACTTCTTAACTACTACTACTTAAAGCGAAATTTTAAATCTCATCTAAATGGACGAACAATAAAACTTGAATTTTCCTATCTTATGCTCAGAATTTATTGAAAAATATTGTGGATCTACGCTACTTTATTAACCTACTTGTAAAATAAAATTATACTATCACAGCAGCATTTAATTTTAATGCGTGGCCAAAATACTTGTTAAAACCGTTTAAATATTATATGTATATGTTTCAAACATTTATTTCATTTAAAGAAATATAGAAATAAAGTGATTATTTGTCACGTATTTTAGTGTCTTTAGCTGCTAATCTGTTAATTAATAGTGATACAAATAGTTATAATGTGTCAGTTATTTTATTTTTCATCATCGTCATAAGATTTGTGACTTGTGAAAATCATATCTTATTACTAAATGATTTGATACTATTTATGTGCAATGTCTTCTGTGTGATCCTTTCCCACAGTTCGCAGTCCTCGCCGGGAATCGCCTACACCTTGATCCACGCCACTCATCCAAAGCAGCACCACACGAAAACGACATTTAGATGTCTATCGTCCAGCACTTGGTTATTAAATTTGCTTTCATTCCCCTCAAGGAAGTCCGCTTCCTTTTTCCCTTTTTTCCCTTTTTGGCCCTGTTCTCCCCCTCATTTGAATGGACATTTTGGGACAGCAACAGGCTGGAAAACGGAAAAAGCAGGAGGAACGAAGCCCAGGTTGCTGGCCAGGCTAATTAGCTCATGCCAAGTCCGACTTCCTGGCCGACAGCTCCTCGTCATTTTAGCCACTTGTCGTTGTCTGGTATCAGTATTAATTGCGGCTCTTTAGCGGCCGCAAATGCAATTCATATACACTCGGCGGTTTTTAATTGAAAATGTTCGCCACTTCCGGATGGAAGCATTAGAAAAACGTTACAAACTCTGGGAAAAGTCCTGCGCAAAGCGTCAGTTGTTCACTTACCGGAGGTAAAGTTTGTGTTTATAATGTTCATTATCAAATTATCAAGTTCTTAATGGGTTTCATTCAAGTTGACAATATTAAATTTGTACATATATAATATATATGACTTACTTAAAGATATCTTATAGAGAAAGATGTGGCTACTTTGAAATGAAAAGAAAACGGTTCCCAACCATCCATTTCAGTGATCTAGTTTTCAAAACACAGCCGCAGCCTTTGAATATGAATTGGAAATATGGAACCAATAAGCAGATATACTTTTGATGCCAAGATCAATGATAACTGCCCACATATGTGGTCCTTGACCGGCTGTAGATGAAGTGATCCCCGAGTTGGCTGAGTGATCTTCAAGTGATCATCGACCAGCGGGGCTAAGTGATGTTCAAGTGATCGGAGCTCGTCTTTTTCCCACTTGGCGGCTATCTTGGTGATCTGATCTCGTTTAGGATATGCTACTTTCCCTCAATGGTGCATACCCATGCAATCCCTTCTGCAAGTAATCTCTTCATTTGCGATCTTCCGATTGCTAAAAGATTTCCGCTAACGGGGATCGTATATTTCGCACGTTATCCTTTCGTTTTTGTTTTTTTTTTGCGGTGAAAGTTGTTTGGTTTTGTACGCTTTCTTTGCGACTATCTTTCGATCGGCCTTTGTCCTCGATCGGATTACAAAAAAAAAGGGTGCAGGGGTTAGTTAATTGATTGCCTCGTTCCATCCACCGAAATGGCGAATTTCTCAACTTTTCAACTCTTTTTCCTGCGTTTACCTTACGTTTGCGAAATTCGCTCCGCTTTTGCTTACTTTTTACCTCGTTTTCCTTCGATTTGCCCTCGTTATGTCCCCGAATCTTTCGATTCCTCTTTGTGGCATTGAGTTATCGCTGTTTACATAGCCGTACAAAAGGATTAAATGGGTTTTTGAGAGAGTTTGCAGTGCAAAGAAAGGATATCGGCATGTTGATTAATATGATTTAACGAGCATCCTGCTAAACAAGGCGTATCCCGATTTGTCTTCGCCTGTAATTTCCAGACAAAATTACCATAATCCTCGCATTTTCTGCGGTTTACAAGGGACAGAAAGGACAAACAAAAAAAAAATACACAAATGGATAAATGGATAAAGAACTACACGAAAACCACTCAAATTCAATTTGAGTTTTCAGCATTTCGATTTTACGCTTAATTAACGAGCCCAAGGACCCTGGCTCAAGGACTGCCCGAAGTCACGATCCAGTCCCGATCGCTGTATGCAAATTGCCCATGCATTTTTTACCACTCTCCCGTCCCTTTCTCCCCCTGATGTTGTCCTCTCGCTCGCTCGCACACGTGTTTGAGGGAGAGCGCGTCGCCAAGGGGCACTTGACTTTCACTCTCACTCTTTCAGGATCCTGAAAACCAGAGGTCCCGAGATCCTGAACCGAAGAGCCCATGGGATTTGCATGCTCAATGGCCTGTGGCTAAAGACTCGCCACTTTGGCGCATAAACTTTGCAAATCCCGCTAGAGATGCCCACATACCCTTTTACTAGCTAGTTCTCAAAGGGTTGAAGAATTTTGTTAAGAAAAATCGTACAATGATCACCACACATAAATGTGTTGTTATCTCACTCGTTTTAAAACTACTTTGATGGCTTATTCTTAATAAATAAATAACTTTAAAAGCGCCAAGGGATTTTTTGAAATATGTATTACCGTCCAAAACATTTATGAAATTTATAAAAAAAAAAAGAATTTACATATATCTACATAGATAAATTTAAAGAATACAATAACAATATTATTTCTTATTTAAATAAAATAGAAATCTTCATTGTATACGTTTTAAACGTTTATAAAAACACAATACTACCAATTGCAATTTATTTTACCCATTTGAGTTGTATTCTTTTTATATTAAATATATTTTTTTTAATACTAGTAAGACGAAGAATAGTGTTAGCTATTTTGTATGTATAAAGTAAACCTAGCTACCTTTAACCCTTTGAAGTGCAGAATTTAGCCAACTGATCTTCTCCGATTGCATCGATCCCTGGTTCCCTCCCTTTCCATCGCCTTTGCATATATGCTTACATGCAGATCGGGCACTTTTATAGGATTTTATAGATAGGGCTGCTTTATTGTTGCTGCCTGTGATTAATGCGCCCGTGTTCGCATTGTTTGCGAAATTTATCGATATTTGATTTGCTGCGCGCCGCCGCCTAGAATGTGATTCGAAAATGCTCAAAGTGTATCAAATGCTTGTCGCGCGGCTTTGTTTGCGTTTTGCATAATGAAGGGAAAGTGTTTGCGAAAGGGGGAACAATTCAAATGGTGTTGGAAGTAGGGAAAGTACCAGTTCGCGACTTCATTAACGCATTGCGAAAAAACATGGGGACTTTTACGATTCTAAGCGGAACCCACAAAAAAGTGAAACCATTAAATCATAAATGAGTTGAAATGATTAATTGATTTCATAACTTTTTACGCTGGCATTTTTGGTTAAGAGCAGGGGGAATAAAATGACTGGCAGAATATAAAGGATAAATGGCCAAATGGCAATGGCAATGGCAATAGCAATAACGGGCCCCTGGCAAATATCATGTTTATGCTCATAACTTTCCAACTCAAAAGTCGACCAACTGTCAACTGTCAAATACGAGACAATTTCGCAAACGAATCCTGGCCACTTGGGGTGGGGGATGCTCTCCATAAGGACGACGACTCAGCCTCGAGTTGTGACCCTGAAAAAATAAAGGAGAGGCTGCACAAACTGGAACACACGAAAGGACACCCAAAGGATGCGTCTGAGGCAGACGTCGCAAGACAATGGATGCCGTAATGAAGAGCAGATACAAATACAGATACAGATACAAATGCATGTACAGATACAGATACAGATAGAAGATCCCGATACACAGATACAGATACGCAACGGGAGATGTCTGCAGCATCCAACAAGCAAAAAGTAAATTACAACAAAGGGACGGACGCTCAAGGAAAGGATGCGAAGTGGGCAAAAAAAAAATATATATATCTGCAGAAATCAGAGGGACGGGGCTGAAATTATTGCAAATAATTTAGAGCACATATTGCAGGGATCCGGAATATAAAAAAGGATCCGACGACCGATCCTTTTTCGGTTTGTTCGTTTGTCATTTGCCCGCAGCGAAATTCAGCAAGGACTCGCAGGAGCCAGCCCAAGAAGTAGTTCTCCCAGCCCCTCGAACATAAATTTGCAACAATTAAAAACAAAGTTAATTAAAATTTATGTGCGACAGATTCGGCTGCACACTCAAGGCAAAGAAAGTGCGGATCGGGCCCATCCTTTTGCCTAATTGCTGGGTGTGTCCTGCGAAACGGGGAGGCATTCTACGCTTCAACAGTCCACTTAAAAAAGAGAGAGTGGCTATACCCAAAAAGGCATAAAGAAAATCGCAAATTAAGATGCTGCATGGCCATACATAAAAAATGGGTGGATCAGGAGGCGATGACCATCGATGACCACCGATGACTACCAATGACCATTTGTTGACCCGTAAGACGAACAAAAGATTTCACTAGAGTACTGGTCAAAT